ATAGTATACATGTGATTGTATGTCATGAAAATGGAAAATAAAAAAGTATATTTTTTTTAAAAAGTTACCTAGACAGTTTTTCATGCCTGACTGGATTAGAACTCAGAGTTTCCTGGTTGCTAGCCTGGTGCCTTAAGCTGTGAAGCCATAATTTTTTCAATCACTTTTCACAGAAATGCAATATTTGAAACTGCCTACAGTATATATGTATAGATCTCCAGGTCAAAGTATGATTCCTTCAGTGAAGTATAATTAGTATTGCCTCATTTAGGAAGATGGTAAACACTCTTTAGGAAGATGGTATACACTCTTCCATAAGAATGCATGGTTTATCTTGCTTGGGGCAACTCTTATCATGGATGATAGGTGTAAGAGAGAGTAAGCAGAGACTCCCCACACCTTCAGTGGAGACAAGGAAATATATGTTGTCATTTTCATTATGTTGCAGAAGAGCCCCATTCCAGGCACAACTGTGCTTAGAAATTCACTTGGGCTGAAGTCCCATCTAGCTTATAATTTCAGTGATAAACTGAGATTTGGCTCTTCAGAAAGAATATCACATCTCTACGTCTTTATGTTATCCTGGTTACCCAAGTGAGACATTCTGAATTGGCAGAGTGACAGATGGAATGTTTGGTTGGCAAGATGGAATTCCCCCTTATTTCTTTATCTTCTGTGCCTAGCCTTGAACCCTTAGGGTAGCTGGTGACTGAACTGGGGAAAATGAACTCCCTTCTCTTTTATCAGTTCTATGATAAATGCCAAGTCCAATGCTTTCTTTCATGTGGTATTAAATCTCAGTTAATTGATGTTTTACTAGCAACCTATCTAGCATTGAAGACCAGCTAGTCAAAAAGCCATTTCTATAAGGACTTTCTTTCCATAGGTAACAATCAAGCAGCTTGAAGGGACAAAATGGTACCTTAGTTCTCACAGCATACCTGGGCCAAATGACCATGTATATATTTTTAAAAAATAGTATCTAACCTTGTTCTGAATAGAATATTAAACTCAGGTATTTCACAGATAAGAAACCTGCCAGGAAGCAGTGGTATACGAAATAAGGAATACATTCCAGAACTATGATTACTATTATAAGAAATACTTTTAAAAATCAGAATTCAACAGAATGAGAAAAAACTCTAAAATGTTCTATACACTGAAGAATAATCTAAATATGCATTATCTAATCATAAGAGTATTTCCTCATTTTGAACCCTGAAGGGTTATGGTATGGGGATCTATTTGCACACTGCAGGAGGCCTGATAGAATAATGAATAGTTACCCTAACTATTTATAGATCTGTAACAAATGACAATTCATCATCATCATAAAAATAATAATAATAACAATAACGACAACAACAACCAGTTTTATAAAAGCTTAGAAAGTGGAGCTGGGGTAACAACAAATGAAAAACCTGATAAAGAGAAAGCTCTGAAATTCTGGAAGAATTTGTGGGAAAACAACAAGAACCACAACAGAAATGCAAAATGACCTTTTCTAGCCGGCGCAAATGGNAATCGGCTTGCTTTATTTTTACATTTTCGGTCACAGCGCGATGGTTTCATCGCGCTGTGATGACGTCAAATGCGTGCTTTCGTCGAGCGCGATTTTGTCCTCCGCGATTTTGTGGTGGAACCCCCCCAACATGGCTCTTCAGGTTTTCCAGTGATGCATTCATGGCTGCTGAAATCAAATCCATCAGCTTTGCTATTGGTTGTCTTTTCTTTTTCTTTTTTCTTTTCTTCGCCTTTTTCCAGCATCCTGGATTTCTCAAGGGGCTAAGTCTTTGCATAATAAATCCAAAACATGATAATCTGAGTCTCAGATAAGAATTCCGAATTGATTTGTCCTTTGATCCATTTGTTGGTGGTTATCCATGTATTCTCAAGAAGCTTCTCTAACACCTACATTCAAAAGTGTCAATACTCTATCCTGCCTCTCTAGAGTTTGACTTTTGCTTCTCTAGCCTGTCCCAGGGAAAAGAATATCATGCATGAGTCTGATATTTATAGGTAGCCACATTGTCGTATCTTTTTAAAGGCTTTAATTTCTCTTCTATCAAATGCTAGTTTGTGACTTATTTCTTGATTGCTAGACAGTCAGTCCTAAAAGCCAGAAGCTACCTGTCTTCAGTTAGTATGAAGGTTGGCTGCTGTACTTTTTAATAGTTTACACATAGTTAATCCAATTTTCTAGATACTCCTTGTGGTTTATTGTCAACCACCAGAGCAGGGTCATCAGCATAGTGCAGTTTATTGAGGTTTTTTCCTTTAACTTTTAAAACCATTCTCATTTTCTTCCAATCCAGCCTCCTGTACTGTTGTTGTTAGTTGCAAAGTCGTGTCCAACCCATCGCAACCCCATGGGCAATGTTCCTCCAGGCCTTCCTGTCCTCTACCATCCTCTGGAGTCCATTTAAGCTCACCCTGACTGCTTCGGTGACTCCATCCAGCCACCTCATTCTTTGTCGTCCCCTTCTTCTTTTGTCCTCAACCTTTCCTAGCATTAGGCTCTTCTCCAGTGAGGTGGCCAAAGTATTTGAGTTTCATCTTCAGGATCTGGCCTTCTAAAGGGCAATCAGGGTTCATCTCCTCTAGGACTGACCGACAATGTCCTTTACTGTACATTAAGCATACTACGGGTGAATACGGAGAAGAGAATCTATAGCCTTGTTCCATTTCTGTATCAATCTGGAGCCAGTTTGTTTTGCCATGTTCTGTCAGGATTGTGGCTTTCTATCTCGTATATACATTTCACATGAGGTTATGGATGATTTGGGATTCCATTTTCCTAAGGATAGTACTTAGGAAAATAATTTAAATAGATTTTTTGCAGTCAATGAAGCATGAACTAAAAACCAGTTTGGTCTGCTGGTTAAGGTATCAGGATAGAAATCAGGAGATTGTGAGTTCTAGTCCTGCCTTAGGCTGGGTTGTGAGGAAAATAGGGGGAAGAAAGAGTATTAGCTATGTTCACTTCCTTGAATAATTTATTTAAAAAATAAAAAGTAGCATATAAATAAAAATAAAATAAATAGATTCTTTCTGATGTTCTTTGGATGTTTAGATTTTCTAGCATGGCTCAGCAGGATTGCCTCTTGATTCTCAGCTTTTTCTAAAATGAACTTGAACATCTGGTATTTCCCTTTTCACAAGGGGCTCCAATCTGCATTGAATGATCCTGAGCATTATTTTTTGACATATGGAGTAAAGGATACTGGGCAATTGTTTGCACATTTTATTAAGTCTTATTTCTTTGATATTGGTACTAGAAGACTGACTCTATCGGCTAGGGTCTCGTACTTCAGATCTGCTGGTTTGGTTTGGTTAGAGCCAAACTAGAACTGATTGTTTTTCTCTGTTGTTGGCCACATATCTGTAGCTATTTCATCAATTCCTATTCTCTTTGAACTTGGTAATGACCAGAGCGCTTATCTGACTTCATCTTCTAATGTAGAGATTTTTGTAAGTAGGGAATATCTTCTAACGGAATGATTCTTAAACCGATTAACCTAATTACCCCCTTTTCCTGGTCTCAAATGTCATTACCCTCACACACTACACACAAACATACACACAAAAATCCCCAGATTGTTGTTTTACATAAGCATTTTGCAGCAGGAGTTTCAAACTGGAACATCAAGTCATTAACAAGCAACTACAAATTGTTTCATTACTCCCAGGATATGTTCAAATTAGCCTCTTGGAGGAAAATGCCCAGAGTTTAAGAACCACTGTTCTGTGGCATCTTGGATGCTGCTGTTGCTTCCATCTTCTTTGAACCAATTACTAGAAAGCATTACAGTTTATTTTATAACTTTTCATTTCATTCCTTACTGATGCTTATTCTTGTCTTTTGACTGTTATTGCTTCAGGAATTGGTGTCCCTCTTCAATTTTCACAACTATGACAACTTGCTGCATTGCACCCGCAAGATGGACCCACGCCGTGAAGGAGATGAAGTTAGGGTAAGAAACCAAGGGCCCTTATATTGGAAAGAGACTACAGATTTAAGTGGACTAGAATGGGAGAGAAACTCAGAGGACTTAAGAGGGTTAGAATAGCAGAGGTAAGTGAATGGCCCAGGGCTTAAGATGCATAAAAGCAATATTTTATCAAGAAACTGATACACCTGAAGTCCTAGAGAGCACAGAATAGGAATTGCTCTGAGCCGTGGTGGCGCAATGGTTAGAAGGCAGTACTGCAAGCTATTTCTGCTGACTGTCAGCCGTTCAATTCCCACCGGCTCAAGGTTGACTCAACCCTCCATCCTTCCGAGGTCGGTAAAATGAGGACTCAGTTTGTTGGGAGCAATATGCTGATTCCGTACACCGCTTAGAGAGGGTTGGAAAGCACTGTGAAGTGGTATATAAGTCTAAGTGCTATTGCTATTGCCAATCTAGAGGGGTGAGGCTCTCCGTTCAGGAAAACAGTACAGATATTAAAAACATGGGATATCTTTGCCTTCTTGGTTTCAAGAATTAATTCATCCATTCATTCAATATAACCACCCACTCTGGATCTTATGTAGCTCTGATTTGCAACCTTTACTGTGCTCTTGCTGCTACAAATACGCTGAAGAATAGCAATAGCAATAGCAATAGCAGTAGACTTATATACCGCTTCATAGGCCTTTCAGGCCTCTCTAAGCGGTTTACAGAGAGTCAGCATATTGCCCCCAACAATCTGGGTCCTCATTTTACCCACCTCGGAAGGATGGAAGGCTGAGTCAACCCTGAGCCGGTGAGATTTGAACCGCTGACCTGCTGATCTAGCAGTAGCCTGCAGTGCTGCATTTAACCACTGCGCCACCTTGGAAGTGGATGTGCAGGGATGCCTTTCCTGTTTGAGTTGCTCAAACAGTTGGTCATGGTGTATAAGAAAACAGTGAGGAAACAAAACCAGCTCTGCCTGCAATGAAGATGTTTTCCTCCATTCTAGTCAACTGGGAGCTTCTTTTAGCTGTATTCTAACCCAGTTGTGGAAGAATTTTGTTTTGGGATATATATTCAGAATATTTCATTATGAGAAATTTTAAAAGCCTCCAAAATCATGAAGATGAGTTAATGTAAGCCAGATGCACTCAATATACATTATTTTTCAGAACAAGACTGTTGTGAATCTGCTGTTTGCTGCTCACAGTGGAGATATCTCTGCTCTTCGGAGGTATGACTTTACTTATCCAGGTGCTGAAGAGAGATCTTGAATATAAGTGAAATAAGTGTAATTTCCTTCCATGACCTTTACCTCTGTCCTCTTGGCTTTCTTCTAGGTTTGCCCTATCAGCTATGGACATGGAACAGAAAGACTATGACTCTCGAACAGCCTTGCATGTTGCTGCAGCTGAAGGTATCATGTTCGGGATGCAAACCTGCCATGATTTCTAGGCCCCTGCTCTATATCCACATTTGCACTTGCAGGCTTGCATCGTTTAAACCAGGGGTCCCCAACCCCCTGGTCTTTGGACTGGCACCCAGGCTGCTGCATGCCAGAAACCGCAAACAAGTGAAGCCCATCTGCGGGATACAGGCAGTATGCGAAAGCACGCCCCCTCTGGTCCATGGAAAAAGCTCTCTCCACAGAACCGGTCCCTGGCGCCCAAAAGGTTGGGGGCCACTGGTTTTAACATCTACCAGACTTTTTGTAATTGGTGCTTCACTGGGGCTCATCTCTAACAAAAATGGGGAAGGGGGGTTGTAAAGGAAAGGCAATGCTCTCATTCATATAAGTTCAATGTAATATTGATCCATCACCATTAGTCAGTGTGCACTTTAAAATAAGCCATCATAAAAAAAATGATGTATTGGATCTGAGGGAAGATTCTGTATAAAAAGTATCAGTAAAAAGATGAAAAGTATTTAGCATGCAGTAAATACAATACTGTCATAAATCTATACATTTATGAATTTTCCCACATTTAGAAATGTAGGAAAATCCAAAGCAATTTCAGGTGTAAAGATGGGAAATTCTATGTTTCCCCAGGCATTTATTATGGAATTGTTTTTCCTTAAATGGGTGTCATCTTGGTATCTCTTCCATCTTTTCTCCTACCACCAAACAAAACAAAGAAAAGTGAACTGTTCAGTGTCATATGGCTGAGCCTCCTAGAAGCTCAATCCTTATTCCTCCAACTGCAAATTGTACTCAGGTCTGCAAGATTTAGGTTAAGCAAACTTAGATACTATATATTTCTGTCTCCAGGCTAGAGAAATTTTTCCCAAGCATTGATATACCGGCAATCCTCGAGTTACAACAGTTCATTTAGTGACTGTTCAAAGTTACGATGACACTGAATCATTTTTCAGTTACGACCGTTGTAGCATCCTCATGATCATGTGATCAAAATTCAGATGTTTGGCAACTGGTTCATATTTACGACCGTTGCTGTGTCCCCGAGGTCACACAGTCCGCTTTTGCGACTTTCTCACATGCAAGTGAATGGGGAAGCCAGGTCCATTTAACAACCGGATTACTAACTTATCCACTGCAGTGGTTCACTTAACAACTGTGGCAAGAAAAGTCGTAAAATCGGGCAGAATTCACTTAGCAAACGTTTTGCTTAACAACAGAAATTTGGGGCTCAATTGTGGTCGTAAGTTGAAGACTTCCTGTATTAAATGGAGGTTTCTTTTAAAGAGTTTTAAAAATAAAGATGTAAATAAATCATGCTGTCTCAGCTCCAAAATAAAAAAAAGAATAACTCTTACAGCAAGCATGGGACCTCTAAACGTTCCTGGAGATTCTCAGTCATCCAGGTTAAGGTTGTCCAAAAGGTGCTTTTTTCAAGAGGCAACTGGACTTTCTGGTTTTATCTTTGAAGACGTTTTGCTTGTCATCCAAGAAGCTTCTTCAGCTCTGACCTGACTTTTCCTAGAGCTGGAGGAGCTTCAAAGAAAAACCAGAAAGTCCAGTTGCCTCTTGAAGTAAAGCACCTTTGGGACACGGGACCTCTAATTGCACAATCGGAATAATTTCCCCAAAGTACATTTCCTAAGAGATGGTGTAAGCATTCTGAGCAACATATATGTATCAGAAGAACTCTTGATTTGTCAATTCTCCTGATCTGTGTTGCTGAACGCCAAGAGAGTCTTTAGAAATCTGCAGCCTGCAATGAGAGCTTACATGGCTGAACAGAACACGAACTTTCCCATCCTTGAAATGTCTGCTGTGGCTTTCTTGGTAGCCCCCATTCTGCAGTCCTACACCTTGAAGAATTCTGTAGACATGTAGGTTATATGTCACATGATGGGAGTGGTTCAAAAGCTCATCTTTGGAAAGAGAGAGGAAGAGCCTCTTTTTAAATTGTTCCACTTCTATGATTCTCCCCAGGACATCTGGAGGTTGTGAAGTTTCTGATTGAGGCCTGCAGAGTCAATCCTTTTGTCAAGGACAGGTGAGGAACAAACGGGCAGATTCAAGATCTTGCTTTTTATTTACAGAATTATAAAATCTTAGAGCCAGCTTCTCCTTATGCTAAAGACAGGGAATGTCAAGCATGCCTCCTTCAATATCCAAGAAAGGAAAACCTCAACTCCATTTTAATAGAGATAAAGTACTTTTACTAGATATGAAATGAAAACAGCAAAGGAAAGCAAGATCTGAGCCAGAAAGGTGGGAACATATACATATCAAACATTTACCCAGCACCCTCCCCCCAATTCCCCAACCCATTGTCCAATCTGCAACTCCCTTAGGTGTCATGTGGGGTGCATCTTCAAACAGCCTCATCAAGTTGGTATGTGAAACGGTTGGCCTTGACCAAGTCCAAACATCAGCCACCAGCATGCGCAGAAGATGGTGGGAACAAGACTCCTCCAGTACAATATAATTCCCTTCCCCAACATTATGAAACACCACCACCACCCGTTCCTATGGCAGCCGATAGCAAGCAAACGTAGTAAGGCAGCCGTAAGCAAGTAACCAAAACAGAGGCTGACAGGGACCTTATTCAGCATAAGGAACTGTTTCCACCAGCAGCTGCCTATATACATTTCCCCTTTCTCTGTCTAGAACTCCTTGATCAGGTCAGTTTCATGTTGTTGTTATTCAAGAAGTTTGCATACTCATAACTTGTTTTAGGACTAGTTGGCCTCAGTTGGAAGAGAACTGTGAACAAAATAAAGTTTAGTCTGATGCAATGTGACTATCGTGACATCTTTGCAAACATAAAGGCCTCAACTGTAATTCAGCTTCTTCTCACCAAGGAGAGGATTCAACCTAGAAACAAGGAGGAACTTTCTGACAGTGAGAACAATCAACCAATGGAACAGCTTCCCTTTGGAAATTGTGGGAGCTTAATCACTTGAGACTTTCAAGAAGAGATTGCCATTTGTCAGAAATTGTGTAGGATCTCCTGCTTGTAGGGGGATTGGACTAGATGACCTACAAGGTCCCCTCCAACTCTGTTAATCTGTTAAAATCCCTTTCTTTGTGAAAAAGGATGCATTACAGTTGATGATCCAGAATCATCTAATCCAGAATAATTCAGAATTGGATGTTGACAAGTCTCTATTATATTTTTCCTTGCTACATACTGCCATAACAGTACTAAAACTGTCAGATTCCTTGTGTCAATAAGGTGTGCTATAACTTTGGGGAAATGTTATCACCTGACGTATCAACATGCTTTTGGGAGAAAGATTCATTGATTCGTTGATGGCATAAGAACTTAGTCTCCTTCCTAGTGCATACAATATGATTTGATACTCCAGAAACATAAAGCCCTACTTGTTTTAATAGTAATCTTTATTTTGTAACGTAGTACAAATCTAGTAATCTTTATAACGTAGTGGTTTGGGGGGGATATGAATTGTCCTAGTTTTAAGCCAATATGGAATCTGATCCACAAATACTTACTTTGGATCTGTGTCAGGGTTCCAAGTTATAATTCCATATCAAGCAAAACTCCAAGGCAGGTAGATTTCTCAAACAATAGTTTATTGGAAATATATTGGCACAGATCTGGTGAAAACCGACTCTGAAGACTTCCACGGTTTTCACCTAAGAGCCGAGGTGGCGCAGTGGTTAGGGTGCAGTATTGCAGGCCACTTCAGCTGACTGTTATCTGCAGTTCAGCGGTTCTAATCTCACCGGCTCAAGGTTGACTCAGCCTTCCATCCTTCCGAGGTGGGTGAAATGAGGACCCAGACTGTGGGGGCGATATGCTGACTCTGTAAACCGCTTAGAGAGGACTGAAAGCCCTATGAAGCGGTATATAAGGCTAACTGCTAAAAAATAAAAGTTTTCCCATTTTCTCAAAACAATCAGTCACATGGTTCACTTACGGTGTGGTCTGGCTGCCGGGTGACATCACTTCGCCTTCCTCCGACCAGGTCTGAGAATGTCCTTGGTTCCCAAGAGAAAATATTTTGTTTTGGCTACAGAATCCCAGAATCCCAACTATCTCAAATCCCCTATCCCTCAGCTCCAGAGTGATACCGAAGCTGTCAAAAATGGCTTCGGTCAGGTCAGTTTCAGGGTTGACAATCTGCTTAGTTGAAAAAGAGGGGATACAAGCTTTCGGTTCCTCAGCACCTGAAACAGTCTTCTCCATTCTGGCATCTTCAGCATATGTTGGGAACATAGTTCCCAGGCTTTTTAATCATTATGGCCTTTGTTAGAAATTACAAGAGTTATACCCTCAACCCATTAGAAGCCATCAGGCTGAGAAAAGCTGCTTTCACTAGACATTGATTACAGTATACAAATCTTCACAGTGTTGCCTTCTTTGCAGATGGGGAAACATTGCCTTGGATGATGCCATCCAGTTTCACCACCTGGAAGTGGTGAAGTTGCTCAAGGATTATCAAGAAAGCTACATATTGGGTTCCAGAAAGGTCAAGGAGGCAGCTGAGGATCTCTCCAAGGAGAATTTGGAAAGTATGGTGTGAGAATGGTAGTTTCTACAATTGCTTTATTAGCCCTGCTAAGGACTTGAACAAGAAGATAGACAAATAGAGAGAGACAGAGAGAAACGACATCCTCCTCATTCCAAACTACTCCATCCGGTTGAGCAAGGCGGAGTTGTATTTTTCCATAACTGTCTTGTACAAGAGACTCTCTCTGGTGAACCTTGTATGAAAGTTCAGTACTCCCCTTTGACAATAAAATCCCCAGGAACTGAGTTAGCAACTTTTGGTGAGAAACTAATTTTAGGTGCAGAAAAAGGAGAAAAAGAATGCTCAATTCCCATTTTGGGTTGCCTGATAAAATTCAAAGTAAGCTATCACTATAAATGCTGAACACATTTAAGGAAAAAGTATTCAATTCCGACCTTCAATTTTGTAACTTAATGAAACCTCCACATTGATTATTTTCAATTCCTCCACCATGAATCCATTATCTCCCTTGTCCAACCATTCCCCCAATAGCTATTTAAGCAAGAAGAGAAAACATACTGGTCTCTATAATGTTTTTAAGGATTTCTGACTTTTGTCTGTCCCCACCTTCAAAAATAGTCAGCCATTTCTGTTATTACAGCTTACATTCCCTTTCCTACACACAGAGGCTGCAGAGCTATCTCATAATGCAGTTATGCCACTGGAAGGTGTGGAGATATAACTGTTGCTTTTTAGGGAATTGATTTTCACTTTTAAAAATCAATTTGAAATTTAGTGCATCTATTCTGCTTCTTGTTTCCATTAAAAAAATGTATCATGTCAAATTTGGATTGTGTGATTTGATAGACTGACCGATTGAACATTTTCATCAACATGTTACATGCACAATCACAACATGACTTCTATGATACTTGCAGCCACTCACAAACCTCCATTTTCAGAAAGCCAAATTCAAGAAGCTAAAAATAATTTACACAAGCACCAGAATGGAAAGCAAAAATGGAGAAATAGCTTTTCTACTTTTATCTACACCGTTGTGCTCTCATATTCTGGTTCACTACTTCAAACACTTGTTCACCCACCAATCAGTCATTTCTCTCCTCCTCTCCAAAAAATTAATCACAGGTATGGGGAAAGATACTTTCAGGTACAGCCACTACCCCCATATATAGCAAACTACTGCCCGATCTTAAGCACATTCATTACCACACAGGAAATAAGTCCCCTTTGAGGGCTAATATGTGCAATCTTGCAATGTCCTTCTAACGTGGCATAAGACATTCCATCAGCTGCTTGAAGTGGCACTATCATTTTCCCTGCACCTCTCTTTTCAGCACCTCCAATAAAAGTGTTCAGCTATTTTGGAATAGAATGGCAAAATACCCATCAAAAATCAGTCATTGTGGAACAGGAAAAACAGAAATCTTGAAGCAGTACAATGCTATGTTTCAATGTTGCTGCCAACAAGATTGGTAGGCTACTTTATTCCTCTACATTTTTTAACTACTGTGTGCATTTTTATCACAAGATTTCCAAGCAGTGGATATTTGCAATCAGAAGTCCAGATAAAATAATATTTTGTTTTAGATGCTTTTATTTTTACACAGCATACAGAACTGCTCTTGCTACATCCAATATCAAGAAAAACAAAACACTGCTTAAATATTTGTTGATTTCAGCTAATTTTAATTATGGTGACTATAACAAACTGTAGCAAATTCTTTATCTTTCCTTTTTGATGAATATATGTAACTGCAGATGTATATTGGGACGATTCTTGTTCTTTCAACCAATCTAACAAAGGATAATCGGGGGCTGGTATTAATAAAGTAATTCCTACAATATTAATCTGTGTACTGTATTGTTTATGAATTCAGGAGAGTTGGATTTTCACTGGTCATAAGATGCTATCTGCTTAGTTCTAAGCTTATTTTGTCCTCCAACCCCACCAGCAGGAGGCAATAGATCCTTTGTGTTAAAAACCATTGTTCTTATCAAAATGGAAATGTCCTTCAAATATCTGAAAGCTTGAGCAAATATTTCTAACAAGAAAAGGAAATCTTACATAATTAAAAGACATAAAGTGGTCCTTCTATAGTCAGATTGATATATCGCTTGCTTGATGCAGAGGGGTTAGAGGAACAATCCAAACATATTCACAGAGATGCTCCAGAGCTTTCCTGATGGAGGCCATTGACAGGAACAGAATTTGTAGAGGTCTTGAAAACCATCTACCCTTACTCTTTGTGGGAATGACCTTAGCTGGCTGTTTGGTTTTCCTGAGGCAGAACAATTTCTGGAATGGTTCTGCAACACAGCGGGAGAAGGGAATGTCCTGACTTCTACAGAACTAAAAGCCTATGAGGTAAGGTATCAAATGGTGCAATTGATCACATAAAAAATTGCTGCCTTAAAAAAGCTCATTTTTTAAAGCAACCCTTTCCTGACAAAACCAAAATAGCAGTGCAAGATAAATATGGCACAAGTAAAGGGTGGCAAATTTTACTCACAAAAGGCAAGGAAACAGAAAAAAAAATCTCAGTGTCAACACTCTTGAATAGATTTCAACTTTGCTTGAGCTTCTCGGGTACATCCAGGCCTGAGTGGGTGAGCAATTCACCATCCCAGAGGGCAAAGGCAGGCACCACGGGACCTCGGAACTCTGGCAACTTATTGTGGATAAACATGTGTTGTCGTATATCTATCAAGCTGAATCTTTTGCGGTCATAGTCCAAGAATAGGCCGACTCTTTCTGGTTGGCCAATGTTAGTGATTGGAGTGGTTTCATTAGCAAACATGGCATACCAGCAGTGATTCCCATAGGCAAAGACCCAGGAATTGTCATCCATTCCTATGCAGACTTCCCGGGAGATGTCCACATCTGCCACCCCAATGCGGAACTGTTGGGATCGTTTCACAGTCACTTCCCAGTAATGGCAGCCACTGGAGATGGTGGTGTCACCCAAAACTACAGCCCAGTCTCTGAAGCGTTCAGGGTTTCGGGGCACTCTGGTGGGGTCAATCCCCAGCATGCGATAGAGGACCCCAGTGTCCTTTTTGAATAAATCCAAGCTGCTGTGGGCTGTTTTCTCATCTAATTTGAAACTGATCTCTGAAATAAGAAAAAATATGTATAAGGACCAAACTTTTGCCTTACCTTTATATGTGACTCCTTTGTTCTTAAGAATTGTTTTCCTAACTAGATAAACAATTTACCAACCTTTCTATTAATCATTCAAATAATATTATATTTTGGCTAACTACCATAAATTACGCAGCTGCACTTTACAACTAAATTATTTCAGAAAAGGTTTGCTATAATATGTACATATGTAACCAACATTTAAAAAGATTTAATAATTAAAATTATACTAAATATGTTTGAAAATGGCATCCAGCTAAATGGCAATACATTAATAGCAAACTTTACCAAAAACCTACCGGTATATCTCCCATAGAATTGATTCCCACAAGTGCTGCAATTGTTAATATATTAATTTGGAGGGAATTCAGTATTTTGGAGTGGAATGTCCATCTATGCTCAAGTCTTACATAAATAAATTTATAAAACTTGTATGCTGACTGACTCAACGATTCTTGACAGCTCACAATCCAACAAGTGAAATGCAGAGCAGAGAAGTCTAACCAATGAAAATGTAGCAGTATTGAGAAGCAATGGCAAGATGTTAATAATAACAGACATTTAATATTTAAAAAGAGTTATGACTACATCTCACTGGAATTTCTCCTATCACCAAATAAAGAATTTTATTTAGTAAATCATTTTTTATGGATAGCCAATCTAATTTGGGGGGGGGGGTGATGGTTTCCAGAAGCTATAATTTATTTGTAATCATTATTTTGATATATCAATATAATATCAATCATATATAAAGATGAAATATTTATTTTATTTTATGGATAAGTAACCAGTCACTTGCAGAATAATAGTGTATAATACTATTAGTGGCCACCTGATTCCAGGACAATTTTTGAAGGCTATCCACTGTATGCTAATTGGGAATAGATCTGTCAATTGTTATTGATTCCAAAATTGTTTGTAGGCAAAAAATGTTACTCATAGCAATGAGCTAGATTATAAAAAATACAATGGAGCAAAATTTAAACAAGTGAACCACTGGAAAAACAAAAAAAAATTACCCTCATATAATGATTATAAAGGACTATATGAAAATAGAAAGCTGTCAATTCAAATAAGAGTTTAGCATCAGAAAGCTTTTAAAAACATGTTAAATCTCACCCCAGTTTATTGCATATTTTTAATTAAATGCTTTAATATTCATACGGGCTCTCTAAACAACCTTACTTGGAAACAATCTCAATGAAACTTAAGATGGTTATGAGTAGGTGCAGTTCACGCTGAGGAGTTGCACATTCACTTGAAAAATACACATTTTCCGAAACTAGAAAAAACTGCACTCTTTTCTCCTTTGCCTTTTTAACCCCGGAGCGCTGCTAATAATCCCGCTACTAAAAGAAGTAAACTGATATCCGCCTCAACAAAAAATATTGTCGGGTCAAATCCTTTAATTTCCTTAAAATATCAGGGTTATAAAAGACTAGCAGAAAAAACCGTCCATGCATCCTCAACTTAAATCTTGCGTGTTACTTTAAACAGCAGCGTGACTGGAAAATTCAACAGAAAACGCTTTGGTTGAAGAGATTTTTACTACTGAATTTCTACAGCTCCCGAAGTAGTGAAGGGCACAGACGCACTTTAAAGGAATAAATCGGAGTGCCAAACACGTGGCCAAAGTCTTGAAGGAACGAAAGAAACCGTGAGAGTGTTGGCTGCAGCGTTAGCCGCTCGCTACGATCAGCCAGTTTTCTATTAGGCAAAGGACAAAATTTTCTACCTCTCCGGAACATCTGGCGGAATCCGAGGCTGCACAAACCCCAGCCCTGACCTCTCACGCCTCTCAGGATGGGCGCCGCCATCTTGGAGTTCATAAATCACGTGAAACTAGCGGTCTGAAGCTAAATATAGGAGCCATCTTGGAGGCGGGCATAACTGAGCCAACCTATAGATGACAACCGCCATCTTGAAATTCAAAGGGCTGGATTGTGGATCCCGAACGCGTTTTAGGGGCCGCCATCTTATTTTAGGGCGCGGCATCTTCAGAAAGACATCCCGGCGGAGCCATTTTAATCTGAAAAGAAGCTTCTTTTCCAATGGACTATCTGGCATCACGTGCCTACACTGATTAAATGCTCGATGAATGGCTTGTAAAAGTAGGTCGATTTTCTCTGAGAGAGAGAGAGAAGAAAAAAGTTTATACCCACTTCAATATATATCATTTAATTTATATCCACAGTAGGTTAAAAATGTAAACGTTGGCCTTTTGTCACAATTTCATCAGCCAAAACGATTAAAAATCTAAAAGGATAAGGAAAGAAGGAAGAACATGCTTCCAGGGTTTGGAAATACAGATAGTCCTCAACTTATGGCTGCAACAGAGCCCAAAATTTATGTTATTAAGTTAGAAGTTTGTTAAGTGAGTTGTGCTTCATTTTTCTCGCCACATTTGTGAAGTGAATCACTGCAGTTCTTAAATTAGTAACACAATTATTAAGTCAATCTGGTTTCCCCATTCACTTTGCTTGTCAGAAGGTCCAGAAGGGGACCACATGACCCCAGGACTGTACAACGTCATAATTGTGAATCAGTTGTCAAGCTTCTGAATGTAAATCATGTGTCTGGGGAGTCTATCAGTCATAAATGTGAAAAGTGGCCACAAGTCACTTGTCAGTGCCATGGTAACTTCGAACAATCACTTTGGTTGTAAGTTAAGTACTACCTGCATCAGAAAAAAATGATACTGTGTCTGAAAATCCAGCAGTTCTAGTAATATAATATCATAACAAATGTGAAAATCACGTTTATCTAAATGGGCTCAAGTTTTTTTTTTAAAAAAATCAGTATAAAGAATTATTAAACTTGGGAACCAAATATTGTACTATTGTAGTTGATCCTTGGCCTCATAGCCAAAAATGTATTGTCCGATACCTCAATTTCCATCTTGTTAAGTTCATTAAGAAATTGAATGTCTGGAGGAAGGATCAGTGTTTGTTTTCCTAAAGCAAGATTTTAGCAAAATTATGTAATTCAAGTTTGGGGATGATTTTAAAATGGGCCAGTTGCGTCTCTCAGCCCAACTCACAGGGTTCTTGTTATGGGGAAAATAGGAGGAGAAATGTGTGTTGGATAAGGGAAAGGAAGGGAAGGGACTGAATTATACATATACTGGTGGACCCCAGCCAACATGAAGTAGTAGTGTGATGGAGCAAAGACTTCAGGTGTATTATAAAAAAATATTGGATTCCCAGAATTAATCATTCCTTTGCAAAGTGTGCTGGTTAGATGACCCTTAGAGTACTGAACACCATCTCTTAAAGAAGATATGGAGAAACTGGAGTGGATTCATATGAGAGCTGTCAAAATGATTTAGGCTCTGGTAAATCCAATCTTATAAGCAACTTTTAAAGGCCCTGAACATGTTTAGCTTGCCCAAGAGAAACCTAAGAGAAAATATTTAAAATATCTTTATTTATCTTTAAAATATCTAAAGGCGATCATATGCAAGAGAGAGGCAGGCTTTTTCTATGTTGAAATTGAAAGTAGGACAAGGAGCAACCTGCTGAAATTAAAAGAAAGGACACTCAGACTGAATATTAGAAGAAATTTCCTGATTAAAACAATGAAACAATCTATTTCTGCAGTCCCCAACCTTTTTCACAGCAGGGATCAGTTTCTGAAAAAGGCAATTTTTTCACAGATGGGCGGAGGGGGAAGCAGAGGGGGATTGTTTCACATGCTACCTAGACCCTGTGTATACTCCGATGCAATTTTACTCACTTCTGCAGTCTGGTTCCTAACAGTACCGATCCGGCACTTGGAGGTTGGGGACTCCTGATCTACTGAGCACAGAACAAGGATCAACTCCCTTGTGGTTTTTAAAATACATCTGGATAGCATTTGTGAATTCTGCATAGAGTAGAAAATTGGATTCCATGACCTATAACAGCGATGGCTAACGTTTTTAGCACTGAGTGCCCAAAGCGCGCATGCACTTTGCCAAAATTCAATGCCCCCCACTCTCATGCATGCGCATGTGCCCATGGCCCTATGCATGCACGCAGGTACCTGTGCAAGCACGCAATCGCTCACATGTGCGTTCATCCTCCGTTCATGATCTCTGGCCCCCCACGCATGTGCAGCAGAGACCCGAAGAACGGCTGGCCGGCGGGAGGTAAGCATGCATGTGTGGTGAGGCTGAGCTGGACAACAGCTTGTATGCCCAGAAAGAGGGCTCTATGTGCTACCTCTGTCATGTGTGCCATAGGTTCGCCATCATGGACCTATAAAGTTCAACCCAACTCTAGGATTGTTGCGCTACGTCATATGAGAATCTGTAAGCCTTTTCTTTGTGCTATTTTTTCCAACATGAATTACTCCCCCAAGATGTTCATTTTCTATGAGGGTGGAAGGAAGTGACACTCTTTTGATGAAGAAATCTTTTAAAGAAAGGAATGGTAACTTTTGGCAGCCATAGAAAAATCTTCCTGGATTTCAGGGACTGGATTGTACTACAACTTTTTAACTGGTTTCTTGCTGAATCAACAACTAGAAATGTACAGCTTGCTCTTGCTTTGGCTAGCAGAACCAGTGTTAAATGAATTCAACAGCAATTTATTCCTTTTTCCCATGGGATGCATGCAAGAAGCAGTATTGTGTATGAAGAATAATTAATACTGTCATCCTGGAAAGAAATAATTTGGTAAAGCAGCAGCTTCTTCTGGATAGATCTTTTAATATTCATTGTGCATACTCCATTATGATAATTTGACAAGGCACTGGAGATATATAACATAAAATCCTCCAGCCAACACCAGGGAGATACAAAGCCTGTCCTCATTACTGATAGATTTGCACAGCAATGGCTGGAGATTACTATAGGATGCAATAAATCATTAGTATGGAAATGACAGAACATTGTTAGTCCACATTTTTGCCCTTATGCAGAGATAATCCAAGCACAACACAGCCCAAACAGAACCTCTATATCCGTGATGGTGAACCTATAGCATGAGTGCCAAAGGTGGCACACAGAGCCCTCTCTGTGTGCACATGCACCGTCGCCAGCTGCTCTTCTGGTTTCCAGTGCTTACATGCATGCAGGCCACTGGAGCGTCTGAAAATGCCCAAAAAAACCAGCCTGAAGTGGTCCAAAAAATGGCCTGAAACAGCCCAAACGGCCTGAAAAACAGCCTGAAAATGTCCCCCAAAACAGCCTGAAAATACCCCCCAAAACGGCCCCAAAACACCCCCCAAAACAGCCAAAAACAGGAATGCGTGCACCAGCCAGCTGGTCTTCAGGTTTCCGGTGCTTCAGTGTGCACGAACACCAGCTGGCCGCATGTCAGAAACCTGAAGTTCAACTGGCTGGCACATGGATGCGCACTGGCCAGCTGGTCTTCTGGTTTCAGGCGCTCTGGCACACATGCATGCATGCATGTTCCTGTTTGGGCACTCGGTGCCAAAAAGGTTTGCCATCAGTGCTCTATATGCATAGTGTACTAGCGTATTATAGTTCTGAGATTCATGAATTTTCCTCTGATGTCTCTTGCCCCACACTTCTGAACAACTAAATGATTAAGATATGCAGATATTTTATCTATCAGTGCATGTGGTTTCAATTAGAGGATTTGGGGTTTCACTGTTACAGTATCGTAATGGTGTGGGTGTTACATGTACACTGTAATATGTGGTAGTATAAAAATGCAAAACGATATAGAAAATAAAAAATTCTTGCTTTCTTCAAAATTAATCCACTTCACCTGAATTTGCACTTTCTTGTAATACTCAGGACACTTCTCCAATTGAGATTGGTGCTCAATTTGAGGGTCATCTTGAATTTACAATTCCAACTCAAAAGAGAAGTTGGCAGCTATAGCCAAGAGGACCTCCATATAGGTTCATCTTATGCACAGATGTCAAACTCGCCGTGTCACGTTGTCATCGCGTGACATTTTGTGATGTTTTCCCCATTTGTGGAGCTCGGGTAGGTGTGGCCTGCGTGTGATGCATCCGGCATGTGGGCCGCCAGTTTGGCACTCCTGATCTAATGTATAAATTGTGGCTGTTCCTAGATTAGGAGGCATTCCAAACTCATGCTCC